GTGAATTCAGTTCTTTTCAAATGAGAAATTCTTTAATGGATTTGAAACAAAACAAAAAAAAAAACCCTCATCTTGAGCTGGTTATTAACTCAGTGGGAATTTGATGGAAAGTAATGAGGGGCTATCTAGATCATGTTTCTGAAAGAATGTAACATTATGCTCGAGGAAGGCGGCTCCACCATGTGCAGATGTTCACTCATGCTTTGCAGGATCTTCTGTTCCAACGTGAAACACTTCAGGTGATCTACTGGTGAAAATGAACGTTTCAGTCTGACTCAGTACTTTCTACAGAAGCCCAGAGGAGACAAACTGAACGCCGGCTCCGTGGCGGCTCTTTACAGGCGTTTGTAAGTGGAGTTTTAAACCACTGCAACTCTGTCTTTAGATGTCATTAAAGGCTCAACACCGCCTCCTCAAATTTTGTTGACATTTTTGTTGACAATTGCTCTTTTTATGGTTTTGTACTTTGGAACATGCGCTGATATCCGCTTTGTGACGCTGAGGTCGTGTCCATAGAGGTGAGGAGCTGAAACACTGAAGCAGGTGGCAGACAGGTTTACAGGACAAGATTTAAGAAGGGCTAACTAATGCAAATGCAATCCCCAAGCATTCCAGATGTAGAAATAAGAAAACAAAACAGTTGAAATTCAAAGAAAGGAAGGCCAGAGGAAAGTAGCATGGGATTAAACAGGAGAACCACAGGAACAGCACAGAGGACCGGGCAGAGGAACAGAAAAGCACTGAGTGGATATACAGGCGATTGATGGCAAAAAACAAACAGGTGTGTCTTGTGGGAACAGAGCTGTTGAGTCATCAGCTGAACAAGAAACAGGTGCTGAGCAAATATAGCAAAAGAACTGATGAGTCAGCACAAAATCAGTTTCCAACTAAGGAAGTGAGGGGAAAAAAAAAAGAAAACTCATTGACAAAAATGCCCCAAAAACAGAATTACGAAAAAAACAAATAAAAAATAACACCACAGGGTGTGCAGGATAATACTAATGTCACACAACCAAACAAATGGATGTTTATTATCACAAACCGGGGGAAAAGAAAGACTAAATTTAAATTTACCGGCAGGAAAACCAGGAGGACTGAACCCAAAAAGTTCTGGTTGTAGACTCCTCAAACCTCCCCAATTCGATAGCAGCGATCAAACACAAGCAGGCCACCTTAAAGCCTTTTGGCCCCCTAACTGGTCAGGGGAATTAACCTCCGTTTAGCAGCAGAGACCTAATGCTCCGCGTGGATATCTGTTCCGAGCATTAAGCCCAATAACTCTTGTAATCGGCACTGACGTGTCAAACATGGTGGCAGCTGGTCAGGCCGCACGCCCGTGTGAGTTCCTGCCTCGTAGTAAGGCCTCAAATGTTCTTACGGCGTGTAGAGTGCATTTATTGGACAAAAAGCCTCCCCCTCGCAGAGGGATGAAACCAGGATGAGTCGAATCTATGAGCTGCTTGAGGGGCTCCAGGTTCAAACCTTTCATAACAAGTATTATGGTCTGTTTTTTCAAAAACAATTGAAAGGAGGTTTTTTTTTTTGCATTGACTCAGCTAAAACAGCTCTTATTTTCATCCTAAGTCCGTCCACTCTAACAGCAGTTACAGCGCAGCCCTAAAAAACTCTCCAACGATGGGACGTTTGCTCCAAAGTTCCCCATTATCCCGCGTCTCCCCATGTAGCACACACCGGCCTCTATGAATACCCATACACACTTCCAGAGGGGACAGCTTTGGTATAATTTAAAGTCAAAATAAGCCAGTTCCTTGGACCAACATGTTCAAATGTTAAAACGTGAAAGCTCACCTCGCCGTCAGGATAGCACCACACAATAATTTTTTCCTCTAGATTCCCTGAGATACTTCGCAGGTTTTGTTTTGTTTCACAGAAATGTGCAGATTTGCTAAATAGGTCAAGAACAGCGTCAAGGAAAAACAACAACAAAGAGAATTGCAACTCCAAATGAGGCCAGTCGAGGCTCGCTTTTGGCGGACAGGGGATGGAGCCACACCAGGTCTGGTCAGGCGCTGGAGGAGTGTCAGAGAGAGAGATGACATTTTAAACAAGTTCCTTGCCTTAGTCAAAGAATTTTCCACGGACCTGCCAGGTTACCCCGGGCGGCGCTGGTGACCGGCAAGCCATCTGCAGCCACCGCCAGCTACCCCCCGTGGGCCCGCTGACCCGAGGGGAGGCACTGAGAGGAAAGACTGAAGGACCTGCTCATGGTCTGGCCACCCGGCGGCCTTCAAGTGTGCCCGTTTTATTCCCATCACGCTGTTGTCAAGCGGCCATTTTTACATCTTCCACCTCAGAAGGGTTTTGGTTCAGCGTCCAAACCTTAAATCTTGTGGGGTCAAATGTTCAGAGGCAGTTGTTTTTTTTGTTTTTTTTGTTATCCAGGTCTGTTGCCTTTTTTTTTCTTCTGAACCCGAGAGTTGTGACACAAGCACAGCTCCGTTCTGTCAGTTAAGCCGAGCCGGGGCCAGTTTAGACACACACGTGCGGCTCACTCCGCTCGGCTTTTTCTTTTTTTAACGGAACATATTGGACGTTGAATTGTATTCCCCCTGCCTGTTTCTTCCTCCCCTCACTGCGTGAAGACAGCCAGGGCCCGGTGCTCATTGTGCGGTGGGTGGGGGGGTGGGGGGGGTTGCTGACGCTGTATGCCGCTGCTCACTAACGTCAGCGCCGTCCTGCTGCTGCTCTGCATACAAATGCCTGCCCGCCATTGATACCTTCCCTCTGCCCCCCCCCCCCCCACCCACCCTCTTATTAGCAGGTTTTTATCAGTTCTAGCACCTCTCGCACCGCAGCGCCGGGCTAATATGACACACGGGTGTAACTGGATGGCCGTCTAATAGCTCGCGCAGGCTTTCTGACTCCTGTGAGGAAATATTTATGACTGTCCGTTAAAGTATCGTGCGGGCCCACGTGTGTGAGAACCGCAGAAAAAGTTTGTTTTCCTATCCCCCCCCCGTATCTTTTTAGCATTTAATCCCAGGCTGAATTTTTATCATCTCCGTTTGGAAAGGAGACGTGCGGAGTTAAAGCTCGTGTACAGCTCTTTTTTTTTTTTTTTTACCCCCCCGTCTGGAAATGACTGTAAATTATCTTTATGCATGTGCTCATGTGGGTTTGCTCACAGGGTCGCACAGATTTACAGAGACATTGCGTGCGAGTCTAATAATAGACAAACGCATCAGGAAAAACACATTTGGCTGTCTGTTTTAGGCATTTAGTGCCTTTACTGGAGTAAAAGTAATGCCACGTTAATGTAAAATACTCCACTGCCAGTAGACAGTAGAAAGTTTTTTCAGGAAGTCCAAAATTCGCATGTTGTAGAAAAGCATTTTATTTTGAACAGATATAAATGTAAGCAGCTGTTTTGTAGTTTGATGCGGAATTTTTATTTAGTTTGATTAAATAAAAATCTAACTAACGTTGTGTGTTTGCAGGGGAATCGATTATTAAAGCAGGAGTTGTGTTTAAACTGTTCCAGAGAGCTACCTAAACAAGTTCCCAGGTTCTTTTCCTGTGAATCCGTCGGGATCTTTCAGCACAGGTGGACAGTGTACGGTCTGTGCGTCTGTCCTCCAACCTTATTTTCATATGTTCCATAAAAAACTAAACAAAAGGCTGATTCTGATCTCTGTGCTTGCGAAAACAGCTCGCTGTAAAGCGACAGTCTGCAGCGGTGGGCCGGCTAATTCAGCCAGCTTTTCTTGTTCCTGTGCGAGTCGGAGGAGGTTGCGTTTTTTTTTTTTTTTTTTTGTGTGTGTGTACCGTGCACAGATTGTGCAGAGGTGAAGCGAGCTGTAATGTTGACGTGTTGGCAGATCGCGCAGGCAGGGCGCTGCATTGTGTGACACACTGCAGACATTCGAGAGCGTCACCGGGTGTCGAGAGTGCACCTGGAATGTTGCCATGTCTCACTTTCTCTTTCATCTCTCTCTGCACCTCTCAGTCGTCTGTCGTCGTCCCTTCTCCGCCGGCGACACGTTCTCCACAGCCATTTCCCCCCGCGTTTCAGCCCCTCCGGTTTCGCTCTGTAAACAAGCAGAAGGCCAGCGACTCGTCCTCCGGCCCTCTCCCGCCATCTCGTTGCCATGGTGTGCGGAGCATTGTTTGCCGGCCTCTATGTCGGGTTGCCATGGCAGGGCTTATTTGCCATATTAAATGTTTGGCAGCATTGTACAGATGCTGATGACAAACACCCAACATCTTCCTCTGATCAATGGACCGGTTACTCATTAGAAGAGGTGAAATGGACGGCCTCCGTCACAGATCTCATCTGCAGCGTGTCACATGACAGCGTTTGGGCTCATCATGTGAAGAAGTTGGTTTTATTTTCCCCCTTATCTGTGAAGAACCAACACATGATCATTTAAAGACATGCCATAAGACAGGCTGAATTTTCTCAACTAAAAATGTACTTTTAAATGCTGCTCCTAAAGTGAGGGTGTTTTTGTTTAGTCTGTTCTGTGTGTGTGTGTGTGTGTGTGTGTGTATTTGTTTGAATGTTAAGGTGAGTCTGATGGAGTCCTCGGTGTCTCTATCCTGTGTGTCTATCCCTCTTGTGGTCCAGAGTGAGACTGCACAGACTTGCTGGATGCATCACAGCCAGTTGGTTTAAAGTGGGACATCTTGAATGAAAGAAAAAATAGTTATCCTACATTATGTTAAATCTTATACACTAAAAAAAAAAAGAACCCTAAACAGTTGATGCGAACAGTCATGATTTGACTGACATAAACAGGGTTAAATGCAAACTCGGGGCATGACTATCTCATTGTTTTGTGTTGCAACCGAACTTCATATCTAAGATTAGGTCATATCAGCTCCACCGACACAGTGTTACACAACCTGCGCCAGCTTTGACCCCACGCTGCCGTTTAAGTACGAGAGCTCCTGTGTGGGTACCAACAGATAGCATGGAAATGCCGGCGATTGACGTAGTTTGGTCTCGATAAGATCTCATAACTCTATTGTAGCGCACCATGGTGGTTTCAGTGGTCTGCGTCTCTGCTCTGGCTCCCATTCAAAGCCTGCGCCTGCTGTCGCTCAGGCAGCGTGCAGCAGGCCGGGTACCTGCGGTAAAAAAGCGCATAAAGCGCTGCAGGAAATCCTTAATGTAAACTGTTACTACACCGTGTTTAGATAACAAGCAGAAGGAACTAGCAGGAGCTTTTTGCCGACCTGCCGGTGCCCTGGTTGCAGCGGTACGCTCAAATGGGAGCACAGGTCAAAAGCCTCTGCTCTTTCTGATTGACTACTGTTCATAATCTCCGTCGCACACAAACATACGCACAGCGGTGGCATTTCACTGACAAATCTCTTGTGTTTTTTTCAGATGATTCTGTGGGACTGGGATTTGAAACACTGGTACAAACCGCAGTATCAGGTCAGTATTTGCATGATTTTTTACGTTTTAGGCTCTCCTCAGGTTGGGTGGGACCCACAGGCAGAGCTGAACTCACCTTTTTGGACATTCACTTTTGCTCCTCATTCTTTTCTTTCAGGCAGGACAACTGCTGTGTAAAACTTTGCACGGAATTGTTGTCCTGTCGCTTTTTTTTTTTTCTTTCCATACCTCGCACAGGCATTTTATTACTTGTTTGCACTATTTGTGTAATCTATCAAAATATTTCACCGGCAGAGGCCAAAAGTCAGTATTTGTTCCTGTTCCTCACAGAGTCGACCCAGTAGGAACATTGTCGCTTATGAAACCTGCCCTAAAAAGCGAGCATTACACACTGTGCTAAACGGCCCCTCACAGTTTATGGGACCATCACTTCAGACATTCACACAGCTCCTCACCTCCAAAACAGAAAGGAAATGTTTACATGTTCCATGAGGCTAAGCTGAAAACGGAAAGGAAGAGGAGGTTAGCAAAGACAGATGTGTGTAAAGTTAGCTTTGGAAAATAAGATTCTTAGAAAATGCATTGAGAACTTTTCAGTTTAGCCAGTTTCCCCTCAGCTAAGAAGCATTATGAGCAGTGAGATACAGACTACTGCTTCGTTTAAACATCTGGAGTAAAAACAGCCTTTAGATAGCGCTGACCATGTCCCCAGATGTCCCCCCCTGCTGCTCTGCTGCCTGTCTGAAGTGCACGTCCACATTTCAGGGCGCGTTGAGCGGCAACGGCGTGGATCTCTCCGTCATCAACGAGGCCAGGAACCTGGTCTCGGATCTGCTGATCGATTCGTCTCTGGCACCAAACGCCAGCACAACCCTGCGCAGCATCTCCAGCCTCCTGGGAACGTTTTCGGGCTCGTGCCGGCCCAGGGTCAACCCCTTCACCCCCTTCCCGGGTTTCTACTCCGTGGAGGTGGAGGACTCTGTGGAGAGGGGCGACAGGAAAAGTATTAAGGTGCGTATGAGCGCGCTGCCCTTCAAAGTGTTACTTGATCGTGATTGGATATCAGTTTCTGATCGTATAAAAGAAGCTGTAACCTTAAGCCTGACTGATTATAAAAGTTAGTACCTTATTAGACTTTCATTTGGGACAGAAGTGACATTGGTGGCGCCACCTTATCCTTTACTGTTCCCCGATTGACGATGAAGACAGTTTGGAATCAGCAGGCAGAGATCCACTCCTTAAGTTTGCAGAGAAAGCAGTGGTGTGTATTTCATGTGCTGCCTCCTCTGCAGCACAGATATCTGATCTACTGTCTGACCACAAACTGCTAACATGAGACACTCATGATCATGAGGAAAAAGTTGTAATGAGCATCTGACTGGATGCATCTTAATAGATTTATGTGCAGCCTAATCCATTCATTTGACTTACTATTAACGTGATTGTGGACCTGTCCAGGATGTACCCTTCCTCTCGGCCCACCCATGACTCTGCTCAGCCTAAGCGGGTGTAGGGAATGGACGGATAACATGGTCATTAGTGATTTCTTTTTCTTCTTTTTTTTTAAGAAACAGACATTTTGTCCTCTCAAATAAAATATAAGTTGGATTTTTTTCTCGCGTTATCTGTTAAGAACAGTTTTTTTGTTAAAGTTGGTCAAAATGATGCGGTGCCTCCTGTTTTCAGAAGCTCCGGTTCAGCTGGCGTTGAAACCCATTCACACCTCTCAGTCTGCTCTTTTTCCCTCTGTGAAAATGTAATTAACATTTTTTGAAAATGGTTTGATTATTTTCTAAGGTGTCACCGTGGATTCTGAATCTCTCCCAGTGTTTTTTTTTAATGATTCATAACTTCTAAATGCAATAAGGTGTGAGTGAAAAACCTATTCAGTTCATGAGTCAAACTCCTCTGCTTGTCAGGGTTTGAGCAGCAGGAATAGCCTCCCCACCCCTCAGCCCAGACGGAGTTCCACCTCCTCCACGCCGTCTGCACTCCCTCCTCTTGACTCGGCTTCTTCACGCTGGGAGCGTAACAATGGAAAAAGACCCCACTCCGACCTCAGTCTGGCCAGGTATCTGAAGAAAGACACCTTTGAGATCATTTTTATAGCTTGCTCAAATGACAAGACTACAGTTCATGAGGCTATGCAGACTACTATGAGACCCGAGGGTCTTAGATCCTCCTAAATTAGAAGAAAACTGAAATAATAATAAGTTAATCTTCCCAGATTTGTGTTGTATAGTTATGTCTGTACACCCAGTACATGTATATGTTTATTATGTTTACTTCTAATGCTCCAAGGCTCTGAAATATTTGAACAATTGTCTGAAATTATTTTCTGTAGACATAGTTGGCATGTCCTTTTGTTATTTCCTTATCAGTGAGACAAGTTAAGGGTTGGAAATACAAATTAAACCAGACGTCCTTTAGCTGTATAAGGACGCATAAATAAATAGTTTAAATAAAAACCTTTCCGCAGCATCCAACTAAATCAGGAACTCTTTTCGAGGTGGACATCTTTCAGAGTAGATCTATACAATAAAGAAAAAGTTGAATAGAGAGGATAGATGAGGCTTTGTCTTAAGTAAAGTCCAGTAACAGTATTTCCATTAAAAAAAAGTATCCAGTAGGAACTTGTTGGTGACGGAAGACAAGAGCAAGGCACATCTGAAGTAAGCAGAGGTATATCATGCCCTCAGGTTTAAAGCTTAAAGCTGAAAAACCTGAAAGCCTTAACAACAAACTCATACATGCATGGCAAATTATCACAGGGTTGGAAAATCTGAAAAAAGACTTGGGTATCCAACTATTTGTGGACTGTACAACACACAGACATTGAGGTGACCAGGTGACAGATGGAGATGACATTTTGCACAAAGAAAAGTGCAGACTTTACTTCCTTTTAACTTTCTCTCTCATTACACATCTGAACACCGGGTGTGCTTTGCTCTACTTTCGGCCTTAGTTTGCATCACATACCTGAAATGACACTCACTCGTTAAAAAAAGCTAAAAGTCTCTAAAATGTCCCTCTGTAATCTGCACTGTCCCCTCACAGTGGAAATGCAAGTTTTTCCCCCCACATATATAACTGCTTGTAGGAATCTGAGAGACGGAGAGCCACAAGGCAGCGTGAACATTGCACTGTTAACCACAAACAAAAAAACTGGGAGAATTTGTGTTTCATCATTTCCTTTCATTGTGTTTTTGCTCTGCACAGAGGAATGAAAAGCAGCAGTGGTTCCCATGTCAGTCTTGTGTCTTCTCAGAGTAGAACGTGGTGTACCTACATGCTTATTACACATACAATGTGTTGGGTGTATGACAGTAGTCTAACCAGATTTTAATATAGCAATTGCTTTTCAAATGCACCGTGAGAAAAGTGGGCTTTAGAAATAAAGTGAAGACACTGAACTTCATTTCCACGCTGATAACTGCTGTGTAGACAGAGGGCTGCAGGGTCTGTGCTGCATGCGGCCACAGGATGGCAGGAGAGGACTGGCCATGTAATATATTTTGGTTTCAGTGGTCTTAGATAGACCCAAAAAAAAGAATAGTGCCACTTTGTTAATCGGATAGGACAAAACTTCCCACGGTGACATGGTGTTTGAAAGCTTTTCTCCCGGCCTGACGTCAATGTTCCTTTTTGTTCTGCAGCTCGAGCCTGTCCAACGGCCCCAATCCAAACCTGCTCACCATCCCCAAACAGAGGTCTTCCTCTGTCACCCTCACATATCACGGGGGGCCCAGAAGAGCGGGTGAGGATCGACTTCCTGAACCTGCTGCGTTTTGTGTAACTGGTGGTGGCTGACTTTGCTCCCCCCTCGTCCCCTCCAGGCGCTTCGCCCAGCCTGAGCCCGGTCACCTCTCCCAGCCACAGCCCTCCGGCACAAGGCCCGGGCTCCTCATCCTCCCTCGTCACCCGATCGCCCGTGGAGTTCCCGGACACGGCGGACTTCCTGACCAAGCCGAGCGTCAACCTGAACCTGCACAAGCCCCTGAGCTACCCCAGCGGCTCGGCAGACTTCCAGCAGGCCTTCCGCAGCTCCGCGTTCCCTCTGTGCACCGGGTGAGGCCTGCAGGCCCGCCGGGGGGGGGGGGGGCTTTACGTTAGTCCGCCCAATGCTTATCCAGTCCGTGATTGTCTGTCGCAGCTGTGGCCGTCAGATGATCAAGGGGGTTTCCAGCGGCGACGGCGAGTCTCATCAGCCGTTCGGCAGCGAGGCTCAACACAGGCGATCAGGTGGGAAGGCCTTTCGTGCACATTATGGGGAGGATCACAGTTCAGGCCCACAATCTGGGTGATGTTTGAAAGGGAAAAGGCTTGTGTCTTGTGTTTAAAGGATTAAATGCTGCCCTCTGCTGGACTCTGAGTATACTGCAGGTTTTTACACCATTATGCAAAGACACAAACATGAAAAATGGAGCAAAATGGCAAATCTGCCAAATCATTTTATATAGGAGCGTTAGCCATTGTTTTTTTCTGATAAACAAAGGCACTGGTGCCTGTTTGAAATTTCTCTTTTCATTTACATCTATGGGAATTTGAAAATAATTCTTGTTTTGTTTTGTAATGTATTAACATTCAAGGGAATTTCGAGTCACATTAAAGGATGTTAGGCATCTGAGTTTTACGTCTTGGCTTCACGTGGTGTTGTGTGTCTTCGTGCACAGCAGGCGAAGGGCTGGACTTTACGGGCGAGCCTCTCATCAGAGAGGAGAGTCCGGAGTCGGACGCATCTGCAGACGGCGGAAGAGACCGGAGGCTGGCAGAGGAGGACACGGAGAAGAACCCCAACACAAAGCAGCAGACTAAGAACACCGAGGTGTGCTTATCCAGGGATTCAGATCAAAGAGCAGTTGTTTGACTTTCTGTCTCCGCCACCTGAGTTATTTTTCATACATTACAATAATAGCTCTGTAAATTACCAGCTATGATCACTGAGCATATGCTGCTGTTAATCATCACCAGCTGGCAGTCAAAGTGCTGTTATTTTTAGGCACATTTGTATCTTTGCTGCTGATCCACTCACAGCGTACATTTCAAGTCTGTTTCTATAAGAGCAGCCATCAGCCGTGGTTCCTCGAGTGGTCTCTACATTAACATCAGAGCAAGAAGTGGCCCGAAATTTTTTCGATCATCTAGAGAATTAAGCCACACTTTGGCGTAGCGTGAACACACAGACATATCTTCAGCACATCTGCAGACTTGATAGTATTTCCACATGCCTTTTGTCCCATTCTGCATTAATTCAGTAATGTTCCCACAAAGTTAAACCTTTGCTTCTGTTCAGCCCGTGTCTTTATTTTATGATTGTTTCCAGGGTAACCAGGAATTCAGGCTAGATCCAATGCTGGAGGACCACGATGCCCTAATGGAGAGGATGAACACCTGGAACTTCCAGATCTTTGACCTAGTCGACAAAACAGGAGGGAAGGCTGGAAGGATTCTCAGCTATGTTAGTATACCCGCCATCTTCTGGCAAACCACCAGTCTGTCATAAGGCCTTTGAGTTTGAATAGAACCATAAGCACACACAGACAGTTTTAAGACCCCTCAAATTATTATAGGCACTGGGGAACTCCATAAATGACATTCACTGGCTTTTCTTCTGCATCTCATTGCTTCAGAACTAACAACATGGTGGCAGTATAAAAGTTGAGCTACATTCTCAAACCTTTCTTGTGCATTTTCAAGGTCTTTAGAGGCAGTAAGCTATAAGACCCCTTTGCTTGTGACCTGTTGGGCTCATACTTTAAACCAATTGACTTTTGCTTACTGCATGGACCAGCAACTCCACAGTTTAGTCACCAATTTGATTTAAACATAGTAATAATCTAAGTCACAGCTCCATGTAACTGAAAGAAGAGATGAAAAGAAAGAGGAACAAGTAGAAACTCACTTTTCCAGATAGCGGTGTCATTAATCTTAACTTGTGTCTCCCCAGGTCACATACACCCTTTTCAAGGACATGTGTCTGTTTGAGATCTTCAAAATCCCTGTGAGGGAGTTCATGTCGTATTTCTGCGCTCTGGAAAATGGCTACAGAGACATTCCCTGTGAGTGCTAACCAAAAGAAGAAAATAAATAATAGAAGATCCGTTTATTTTTTATGCATCACCCTTAGTTGTTTCTGTGTATCATCTACTCAGCTGAGTAAAAGATATCTGGGAAAGCTAGGATGGGAAGCTGTACATTTTAGGTTCTTGCTTACATAGATTGTCATGTTTACCCTGCTGTGGGAAAACGCAGATCATAACCGGGTCCATGCTACTGATGTGCTCCACGCTGTTTGGTACCTGACCACTCGACCAATTCCTGGGTTCCAGCAAATCCACAACGAGCATGTAACGGGGAGCGACACAGGTAAATGTCAGCACTATTCTTATTCCCGTCGTTCAAAACTTAATTAAAAATATCTGCGATGGTGAAAAAAAAAGTCTAATTATCCATCCTGTTTGTTTTTTTCCAGACTCAGATAGTGGAATATCTCCAGGCAGGATATCCTATGCCTCCTCCAAAAGCTCTTCAGTTTCAGATGACAGCTATGGCTGCCTGGCCTGGAACATACCTGCCCTGGAGCTCATGGCCCTTTATGTAGCAGCTGCAATGCACGACTATGACCATCCGGGTCGCACAAATGCCTTTTTAGTGGCCACCAACGCACCTCAGGTAGTACCCCGCGTCCATTTTTTTAAACTTTTGCCAACGTTGGGAATACTAATGCAAATCAAATAAGAATACACTCTGTGGAAAAATGTTGGTGTTTTGATGACAGAATGTGCAGAACTCCCACTCGCAGCTAGCTCACACGTCAACGATCTAGTTTTTCTGTGTTTGTAAATCTTAAACCTTTTTACCTGCCACTGTAGTCCTCCAGTCTGTCAAAGGTAAAATCCTCCATTAAGATGATAAGAAGCATCACCATTTATCTCTTTGTCGGTGATTAGAGTTGTCAGCTCAGCATAAATGACGACTTATAAATGATGACTTAATGCTGTACTCAAGTACACCAAGTAATGATCTGGTGTGTTGTTTGAAATGGAATGAATATTTTACTTTGGGTAAAGTTTTTTTCTTTATCAGTGACTATAAGCAGACCTAATGACCTGCTTAGGTATAGCTCTAAAATCCAGCTGTACGCAGATGTCGATATACAAAACAGTCACCATATTCTTTTAGAAAACACCCACAAGTATCTCAGTGATCACTTTAAGATTATTTAGATGCAGTTTTCCTTTAAATGCCTCAGGAGACGGTGAATGTTCCATATTTACCATCCTGGGCTCCACGATGCTCCATCTTCAGTCTTGGGCCCTATTCCATAAGAGAAGAGTTTTGCTCATGAGTAGACATGCAACAGGCTTTCCTGATTTTTTTTTATTTAGTTCAGCTCATGACCTTAAACAGGCCCTCTTGTTTGATCTACGATGTGGATTCCAAAGGTCAAGACATTGGACAAACTACTTAAAAAAAACGACTTTAAGACAACCACAGCCGTCATTACTATTTGTAAAGCTATTGCTGATATCATGAGCAACCACATTTTTTGTATTATCTTAAAACACACTTCAGTTTTACTTTGGCTGCCTCGTGCTGTCTGTATGTGTTTGTGTGTCTAGCTTCACCGTTAATCTTTAACTTGAGTCAACATCTTCCTCTTTTCTTGATGCGCTTCAACACACAAAGCCAGGTTCCCGCTCAGCTGCTGTTTGCTGTCCTCAGACTAAGTAACGTCATCCCCACTAACTGTGTCTCTAATGGAGGTCATATGCAACATTAGCTTCTCAACACACGACCTGGTAATCTCAGCGTGCTCTACATTTTGCTCTGTCTTGAGAACGAGAGATTAAATGGTTTACCGCTTGCGCCAGTTTAAATATTGTACTTTATCAATCTGCCCGGTGATAGCACCCACACTGTCTCGGTCTAGTCCTTGGAAACTGGGTTAGAAAGACGGAGGACCTTGAACCTATTGATTGCTAATGGCGGGGTTGACAACCACGTAGTTTGCTGAAAGGCCCTTTCGTCTTTCTTTGTATCTCACATCCATGTAACTGCTTTTAATCTGCCCTCCACATAGACCAGAGCTCTTTCATAAACAAATACCCTCATGTCCTTTTATCTCATTTACTGAGCGCTCGCTTCATGAAAATCCATTTCAAGTTGTGTAACGCACATGCTGATGGGTTATGTAAGAAAAAGCATTTCAGATATTTTGGAAGGCAAATGATCAGGACTCGGATTGTTTTGGGCCGGTCTCACCGCACGGTCTCTCCCCTCTGTCTGCTGCAGGCGGTGCTGTACAACGACCGCTCGGTGCTGGAGAACCACCACGCTGCGTCTGCCTGGAGCCTCTACCTGTCCCAGCCCGAGTACAACTTCCTGGCCAACCTGGACCACGTGGAGTTCAAGCGTTTCCGCTTCCTCGTCATCGAGGCGATACTGGCCACAGACCTCAAGAAGCACTTTGACTTTCTGGCTGAGTTCAACACCAAGGTCCGAAATGGCAACTCCACAACTAAGTGACTAGAATCAGACATTTGGAGATTAGATCATAATGTTTCTTCCTGGAGTATGCAGCCTGAATGATGAATGATTACTCAATTATTTGAGAATGTGATGATGTAAAAGGGCTTTTTTTCCCCTAATGAATGGAAGTTGCTAACCAACTTTTAGGGTGTTTTTTCCAAATAATTTTAAATTTGGCTGTTCAGCCCAACTCCTGCTTGATTTACGGGCGAGCCTCTCAACAAGTCAACTGCCAATTTTAAGACAATTTCAAAGTTCATAGCAGATCCTTTTTGATAGATTATCATCCTAAAACACCCCATGACCACAACTCCATAAAAGAAACACACCTTACAGCAGGAAAACCTGTTCCTCATAAGATGTCCCACTAGTCCCCATATTCACCTTACCAGCACATCCTCTGTCTTCTGTAAATAACACATTCATCTTTTGTTAACAGGTCAACGATGTGAACAGCCCAGGAATTGATTGGACAAATGAGAATGACAGACTACTGGTGTGCCAGGTGTGTATCAAGCTGGCAGACATCAACGGACCAGCCAAAGTGCGTGACCTGCACCTCAAGTGGACAGAAGGCATCGTCAATGAATTTTATGAGCAGGTACAAACCTTGTGTGCTCAGTGTCCACGTGGCTATTCTTTTAGATTTGATCTTCCTTAAAGCCTTAAGTAAGAGTTTGTCTCATTTTTACATTCATACAAACAAGAAACAGTTTGGGAGATTAAGAAGAATACATTTAAAAAATGAAAAAAATAAAAGAGGGTGCATGAGTAACAGCATATATGTATATTATTTAATACCCAGTGGGAGAGGGGAAAGAAATTCACAAAAAAGAAACCAGATACTAACATTCACAAACCAGTAGATTAATACCACACCTCTAGAAAATCTGGCCGCACAGACTATACATGTCAAACCCATTTTCCTCAAAGACTAATAAAGATATTCTTCTTTAGCCAGATAGAGAAGGTGATTGCTTCCATTATATATATATATATATATATATATATATATATATATATCATTTATAAAGTTTATCATTCAGAAACTGTAGGAGACTCTGGAAGAAGCCAACATCTGGTAAGTGCTTTTTTGCAAGCTAGGGAAAAATAGCAACTAAGTACTTATCCACCTGTCTGGTCAGGAAATCACAGGTCCCGAAAAACAGAGAGAAGAATTGCAAAGACATTTTAATACTAAGTGTAATACCCATTGCTTTGTGGATTTCTTCCCAAAAAGATTTTTTTTTTGGGTGGTCCCTTTTAAATAAAAAATATATTCTTGAATAAGTGTTAGGGATAGATTAATAAAAGGTGTAATCCCTTCCTGAGCATTCCCTCCAAAGATCTAATATCACCATTTCCTCCATTAAAGTATTGTTTTCATATTTAACGGTGTCAAGGATATTTTGTGTGTGGTTTTTACAGGCACACTTCATGTGACCATACATTGAAAAGGTGTTCATAAAGTGCCTAATTGCTGAGTTTGTGAATAATTTATTTGGTTTACAATCACAGCACGCACAGTGTCACAATGATCAGATATGAAACTTTTCCGAATGTTAATAAGTCACTCAGCAATGGAAGGGACACACCATGCCCTGGCAGCTGAATTCAGCGTTGTGTCCATGGACAGTTTGAATTTGGGAAACTCTGGCTGAAGCTTGAATGAAGAAATTCTGAGTCGTTACAGCTCGTTCAACAACAGTGTTTCTCAAACCTGCAGGGAGATGAAGAAGCTAAATTAGGATTACCCATCAGCCCCTTCATGGACCGCTCGTCCCCCCAGCTGGCCAAGCTGCAGGAGTCCTTCATCACCCACATCGTGGGACCACTGTGCAACTCCTACGACGCCGCTGGTCTCCTGCCCGGCTACTGGATCAACGAAGGGGGGTCAGACGACGACGACGAGGGGCAGGTGGACATAGATACAGATGAAGAAGAGGAAGATGAGCTGGAGGATGAGCTGGCGTCAGGTAAATCTGATGCCCAGAGATGCTTTCTTTTTTTTCTTCTTATAGCTGTTGTGCATTCAACCGTAAGGATTTGGGATCGTTCCCCCTCCACTTTGGTAAAATAAATGTAAATGTCTTTAAAGTATGGCCAATAATCTAGGATCGCATTTGAACTTCCCATTTTTTAGAAAAGAGGCACACATAAATACCAGAAATTCCAGCTTCTATCCAGATGTTAATGTCTGTGATAAACAAACACTTTGGATAGTCACAAAAAGTCAGAAACAGTCCAACAGCCTTTGGTTTAAAAGAATGTTGATTTGTTGTTGCACTCTGCACTCCGTTTTGCATGTCGAATTATCACCAAAGGAACGCAAAAAAGAGACGTTGACTTACATAAACATTTGTTTGCCCGTTACCTGTCGCAGGAAGGAGGAAAAGCCGCCGCAGGTTGTTCTGCTGCATCATGCAACACCTGACGGAGAACCACAAAGTGTGGAAGAAGATCATAGAGGAGGAGGAGAAGAGCAAGGAGCTCGGCAAACAGCAGCAGGCCGACAGCATGCCCACCTCCTCCTCGGATGACATCCAGGTCATCCAGGAGGAGGAGGAAGGAGAGGAGCGTCAATAGCGAGAGGACAGAGGAAAGATTAGACGTGTGTGTGAAAAAAAGAAGTTGTGTAAGGACACGAGTCCCTTGAACACCTGCCTTTCACTGACATAAAGACAGACGGCTGATAATTGCACATAAAACACACTTTGCTCCCTCTCGGATGAACACACACTCACACAGACACGCACGCACATGTCGGAAGATTCACTGTGCAGACACTCAAATGCTTAAGCAGTCACATTGTTTTAGGAGAAACAAAAAGGCCTTACTACTGTGAGCGGATCCTTACTGCAACGGTGGGGGCCCAACCCCTATGCACTTTCATCCCGTGGAGATCCAAGTGCACCCAGAAAAAAAAAAAGAGCGCACTCGAACTGAGCAGGACGGTGCAGGAGAAGAGTCCGGATGGGGTCCAGTGTTAATTTGCCCTCCATGGTAAACCTGGCTGTGATGCTGCCTTGAATGCAAAGCGCTTAACATTAACACCTCCCTTTAGGTACAAAACCGTTCCTGTATATTTAAGAAATGAAAGTTAGAGGAAACATACTGAAGCAGGTGACATCATGAGGTGATTTTTACCCTTTACCAAAGTGAACAGTTCATCCATGGAAAGACAAGAGACTGAAACTGTTTCAGCCTCAAAGTCAGGTATATTTTTGAATTATATATACAGATATGTGTGTGTGTGTGGGTATATATATATATATCTATATGTATGTAGATATATATATCTATATGTATGTAGATATAGATATATCTATATATATATATATATCTATATCTCTCTATATATATATCTATATGTATGTAGATATAGATATATCTATATATATATATATATATGTCTCAAATAATGTGCCTGTCTGAACCTTTACTATGTCCATATTGGCCCAGAGCCTTGGCTTGTGTAGTTTTCTCTCCTTGCTGGTGACACGAAACACTGTATCAGACTCAGTCACAGAGACATTATTGAAATGTTGACTGATTAATAGCATTATATCTGCATCATTTTGGATGCTTTTATTCATGTGTACCACCTCTCTCTTCTTTTTTTTTTTCTTTAATTCTCTGTTCTTTTTTTTGTTTGAGTGTATGAATATTTTGGCAGGAATGTGATAGAGAGAATGAACGGGGAGAAAGAGAGCACATTTTTTAATTATTTTAGTATGTAATTCGTGTGTGTTTGTGTGTCCTTTTAGTAATGTTTGGTTTCAAATCAGTGAAATGTCCTCTAGAGTTTTAACATGTTGCATTCAGATCAGGAGTGCTGATTCAATGAAACAATCTTTCATGTTCCTTTTTGATTACAAGTATTTTTTTAAAGGTTACTCAGGATTCACGCAAAGTTGAATAATTGTTTTGCAAGAATTTATGTCGTTAATATGAAATACACTTTAAAAACTTAAGGAAATTAAAAATCTGGGTGACTGAAGTAGTTTGTAATCTCTTAATGAACAACATGGCTACAGACAAATTGAAGCAATTGAAGTCCTCTGTGACGGGGAGCATACAGTATGTGCTGTCTCGCAGCCATTCCTACACTGTTTGCATAACCTTTTTACGACCTCACCGGAGAAAAGCTTATCTCGATTGTCAGCAGACTGCAGACTGTGTCTCTCCTGCAGCAACACAACACAAGTAGTTTAGCAGTTCTGTAACAGCGTATGAGGCTTTTTAAAGTTATTTTCTATCCAACAGTGCAAAGTCTAAATGTGTGTTTCTGTTACTCAGCAGATGCCGATGTTTAGACCAACTAAATGCACATCTGACTTACTTTTTCCACTTTTTTAAGAGTTTTTCTCAAAACCCACAACTCTGCCATTGTCTAAAGAAGGGATCTAGGGTTTCATGTCACTTTGGTTTTGTTTAGGTATATAAAGACATTTATATTTTATGAAGTGGCACGGGGCAGGTTATAAACTACTAGTTCTCTTACGTTGTCTCTAAGAACTCGTGGCATTCCACTAGAAAAAGACATTTTATCAAAAATGGAAGGCAGAATTGTTGCCTCACTCCTTTAATCATGATCTCTGCAGAAAACGTTAAGCAAGCAGTGTAAATTGACATAGTTATATTTAAAGACAAAAAATAGATTAAGTTGTGCACATTTTAATACCAAACAAGTGTTTAGCCACTGTAAAAAAAAAAAAAAAAGAGTATGTGCATATGAATATATATTTTTTGAATAATCAAATGAATGCATCTGTTTTCTACATGCAGCTGACATGTTGTACATCCTGTAATTATTACCTTTATGTCTGTTTAGCTCCTTTCAAACGTGGAACTTTTGGGGGCTTTTGCGTTTCCGCTCTCCCTTGGTTTCAGCCTTCCCCTGTCCTGTTTCATGACCACTCTTGTCTCCTCCATTAACTCTCCATCACCGTTGTATCACTTGACCCAACCGGTGCCAAATCTGACCTACATCCTGTAAATTTCGGGGGGGGGGCTGTGAAGTGCCGATTGGCCACGTTGCTCCAGGCTCTGGCACCGTTTTGTCCAAGGGGGCAGCGCACTGAGTCGAATATTCCACCAGGATCAAAGTCTGCAGTGACCACGGCGAGAGTCGGGAGTCGGGCTCGGTCAGAGCCACACGAGTTCTGACGAATCTGTCTCCAGTGTTCTGTTGTTTTGTTTTTTTCTCCACATGGACCCAAGCTGGATCATAAAGCCTTGATAGCTCCAGACCTGACATATTCTGGCTCATCACGTTGTAAATGTCTGTTGGCTTTTCACTGTGCAGTCTCTCAAAACCACAGTGTCCTCTGATGATTGTGCCATAAATACATCTATGAATGGTTGTTACCCTTATGTGGCATCAGTACACGTACATTTGTCTAATGTAACCATTCACCCTTATCCACACTGTGGAGACAACAGATTTTTTTGTTATTTAAAGCTGTCATAAAACACCATCCCGAAAGTATCAGCAGTTCTCATTGGTTTTTCTAAATGTTTGTGTCTGTGTGAACTCACGATATATGATGTCTTTTCTTTTTGATGTCCATGCCGGCTCAAATAAACAGAGGAATAACCATCACAACCTGGAATACACCCATTTTCTACACGTACACATAAAATAAATATAGCTCTAAATGACATGTATAAAGGACTCTCTCTCTCCCAGGATATTGATAAGATGTCTCACACTAAAAGCAATCTGTTTTTTTCCTGCTTTTTCTTGTTCTTGATATTGTTTTTGTAAATTACAGAACCTTCTTACTTGGCATTTAATCCAAATTGGGAGAATTTGCATTACGACTGCACTCTGCAGTTGCAGGCAAACACTGGATGTCAGCAGATATTTAAATTTGCTTTCTTGTTTTTCTTTTAGTCGACCTATTTTAGCTGGAAACCATTTCCATCCTCTAATTATAACTTTTTTTCTTTTTTACTCCAAGATAATCTCTATTGGGTTTTCAAAAATGCATCCAATGATATACAGAAATAAGCATGCCCTCACAACACAGGAAACATTAAGGGCAACTAAATTATTGTCCCACGTTGAACTTGTCTTTCCTTGCAAGTCAGGTATTTAAGCATTTAGTTGAAAGTACAGAATTTATGTTAAAAGAGAGAGAAAAATAATTAAAAAAACACAACACCAACCGTAACAGCAAAGGATTCCCTGTTTTATCAAGCTTTAGCCCAGATTATTCAAGTATTGCGTGTGGATACAAAATACAAACTTAAATGTACGATTCCCACAGAATATGGAAATCCATTATCCCAAAAAAAGTATATTTGAATGTTAATAAATAGGATGGTTTCTTTTCAGAATGTAAGTAATTTTTCTATAGGTAAAGTCGTGGACATTTCATTAATCCAGTTAATGAATTTTGGTTTACTTTATTTACTTTTTACTATGAGCCTTTTTGCAAGAAGTAAATATACATCCAGGGAAGTGATTATTTTTCTGGTCATACTATGTCTATCAGGAAATAGACCTTATATAAACAGTTTAGGATCAAGAGCTAATTTCATACCCAGTGTAACACAGTATAGTCTCTAAAGCTTAAAGTTCAATCTCCCTCCGGAATTGTTCAACTTTGGTGCATTTCCAGACACAATAGAAGGACCTCCCCTTCTCCTCTCCACATCTGAAATACAAGCATGTAGTCACTTATGCAGTTTGAGAGCTCTTTTTGCTGTGGTCAGTGAGACAGGAATTCCTTCACAGCTCAGAGTTTATGAAATAGGACATATTAACGCTGCCCTGGCAAGAGCAGGAAGAATCTGAGTAGCTGACCGATGCGTTGACCCATTTTCAGCCTACAAGATGTCGCTGTTTGTGTTTCTGTTTGTGTTTTTTCATTGCCAGTGTTTCGCATCATGGAACAATCACGCTTAAGTTCACACCTTGAACAACTCACATAAATCTGAAGCACCTCTTTAATAAATGTAAACACAACAGAGCTGTGCGAACCATGAACTGAATCTGAGATTACAAAAAAACTAATGACTTTGTTACAGAGTCCTCAATCCACCACATTTCTCAAATGTTTATGTTGTGCTTACACGGTAACATACATTTCAGATCCATCCACAGCTAAAAGAGGAACAGGTACGTTTTTCAGTCCTTTGATATTTTTTTTATACCAAACAAAAAAACCCCCACATGTATGTCCAGAATTGCAAAAAAGACAAAAAACAAATGTTTGCTTTATACACAAAAAACTCAGCAAGTACTTTGTTAGTACTGATAAGCACCATTTAGCAGAAACCAGTGTTGCATAGTTGGTTTTCTAAAGTCCATCAGGGTTGCATTTTCTTTCTAATAGAAAGATTTTCCAAATAGCACCATCCCTGGAGAAGGGGTCAGAGTCAGTCCAGATGATGTAAAAAAAAATGGCTATCGTCCAGCACCAATACACAGTGTTCAGAGCTTTCTTGGAAAGTCTGCTAGTCCCATTTCACCCAACACTCGTGTCATTTATCTGCCCGCGGCTGTCCTATGACAGCAGGGCTATGAACCATTGTAGGTGTACATACTATAAATCATTGACCCAAGTCATCACCAATGCGCCAAGGTTCACAGACATTTCATTTTTCCGGGTGCAGGAGCTCAGGGAATCAAATCAATAGCTCACTCGTGTTCCCAGGATGTCCTTTAGGTACCTGTTGCCTCCCCCTGCAGTTTAAAAGTCTTGTGCAAACATGCATATTGCCCACTTCTAAAAAGAATCAATAGTAGCTGAATAAACATGGATGTGCATGCTTGGATATAGAGAGGCACATGGGTCACAGAAGATCCTTTGGACAGACTGTAAAGCACACGCCAGACTCGACTTCTTATGTTTTAAGGCGTGTCTCCCGAGCAAGAGAGTTTCTGTTGCCTGCGCACAGCACAGATGCAGTAGGGCTTGGGCTGTAAGGTCATTCCTAATTTGGGAGCGACGGTTGGAACAGCCCCTGGAGGGAACTGGAGGTGAAACCTCTGCAGCAAAGTGGTGAAAAAGAGGAACATCTCCATTCGGGCCAGCTGCTCCCCCAAACAATGGCGCCTCCCTGAAAGCAGAAAGTGCATTCATTTATAATCATATGCGCACACGGCCATCAATTCTTGCAGATTCATGATTAATTTAAACCATAAAAAATGTGACTAAATCAGAGGATGGGAGTCTGGGATTAACTGAGGACATCGAGTGCCAAAGATGCTGAGTAAACTCCAGTGAGGGCTCATCGATAAAGACTAAAAGAGATGTTTTTTACATTATATTGTAATTGCTGGAAAAAAAACAGTAAAACCGATCCTACACCAGAATCAAGACCAATGAAGTGTAACAGACAACTGTAGCCAGTGGAAGCCCAATTAGACATGTTGCTTTCTAAATGTTTCTAGTGGATATGGTCAGTTCCCGCTCCCTCACTAGGTGTTGTTACGAGAAAAGGTTATGCAACATAGTGGGAAGGCATTTCTCAGGTTCAGTGTTTGATAAGGTGTGTCTACAATTTAAAGCTGAATGCAGAGTTCAGAGGATCTGCAAATCATTGCATTCTCGTTTTACTTTCTGGCTGTGCAGTTACTATCTACAAATATTACTAATACAATAGTGTTGAATAATCAATACTTTTAAAAGCTTTCATTAAAAAAAAATATTGAGGCTATTTAGGGCTGATACAATACATTAACTGGTAAATGTCTATAATTAGAAATGTTGTTTTTTTCCAGTTGAGACAGACAAAAAGACTAACCCAGGGAGAAGGGAAGGAAGGCCTCACGTCTCACGAAGTTGCCGCTGCTATCGAGAAACCTCTGGGGCTCGAAAACTCCGGGATCGTTCCAGTACTTCTCGTCGAAGTGCACCGAATAGATGTTTGTGATCACCATGGTGCCTTTGGGAATGGTGTACCCGTTGACTTTCGCGTCTTGGGAGGTGGCGCGGAAAATGCCGAGAGGCACGATGTTGCAGAAGCGAAGCACCTCGTGCAGGACCGCCTCCACGTAGGGCATCTTGTGCTTGTCCTCCAACGTGGCTTGCCGCCCATTCACCAGCACACTGTCGATCTCCCTGTGCACTCTCTCTTTGCAGAGAGAAAAACAGATTTAGTTGTAGAAAAAGGACCTACAGATGTATATCAAATCGCTGTCTATGCCGTGTGCGAATTCAAATGTTTAAGTATCATATTGTGCACCAACTACAACTGACCTTGTATGTTGGGATACAGAGCCATGTACAGCATAGCCCAACGTAGAGTGTTGGTCGTGGTCTCTGTGCCGGCAATAATGAGCTCGCCCACTGAATAGATAAGATTCTCGTAAGAGAACGAGGAGTTTGGATTTCCCGTGTTCTGGTCCAGCTCATCCAGATAGGCATCGACATAGTGACGTGGTACGTGAGGCACCCTGCCCTTTGAAAATCCCTTGATAACTTCCGACAGAAAGTCGTAAACCTCTGCGGCGTTGCGGAAGAGCTTCTGGTGTTTTCCGAGGGGCAGATATTCAATCCAAGGGAAGGCGTTGTACAGGAGGGCCCAGCCACTGACGGCCAGTTCCACGTTCTCGCTGAATATCTCGATCATGTGCTGGAAGTTGCGGTCGTCGTAGGTAAAACGCTGGCCGAAAATTATCAGGTTGGTGATGTTGGACACTGCGTTGGTCACAAGATGCTTGGGGTTGAAGGGCTTTCCCTTGTGTTCATCGATGGCATCGACAAAGAACATGCACTCCTCTAAGATCTTTCTTTCGAACTGCCTCTGGCCCCTGCCAAAGTAACGGAAAGAGTTGCAGGCCAGTTTCCTGTGTTCAAGCCAGCCTTTGCCATATTTACAATTAAGAAGCCCTTTGAAAAATACAAGATAAAAAAAAACATCTGTTTCAAATCCAAATGGCACAAGATTTAAAAAAAAGAGAATAAAAGTATGTGCCGCAATGACAAACAAAAGAACAAACTCTTACCACCCATTTTGGTCATTTTCTTGAATAAAGGCAGTGATGGACGGTCAGCAAACACCTCGCTCTGATGGTAAAGGCACTCTTTGACACAGTCGTACCCATTTAGTACCACAGTCATGATGCCTCCCAGATCAAGACTGAAAATCTAAAAAAACAAACAAACATTGAAACAGACATTATTAACAGCCTTTTAAGTGACAATTATAAGTCATTGTCTGCACATTTCTGACTACTGATGGACAAAAAACTCTTGTTCTGCTTTCATTACAGATACAGCATGTAAATGTTCATAAGCAATGCAGTCATTAGCAAAACATTTCTTATGATTACAGACAAATGCAACCTTGTCGGACTGTGTAACTTATCCCCAAAAATGTATTATGATCATTTCCGACTGCCATATTGTCATTGATGTTACCTCTGATTTTCTAGTATTTGAAGTTTTTTAATTACGGTTATCCTTAAACTTGGATATCAAACTGGTTTTAGATGTCAAGAGACTCGAATAGAGGGAGAAGACAAGTAGCTTTGTAAATGTATAGCCTTTTGGAGTCACTTGTATTGATTATTTCCGTCACAACTTTAGAAAGGATGCTGACTGTTTGCAGTCTTTATGGTCCATGTCTTGGGTTGGAAGTGCCAAGAACAGATTTATTAAGAGTCAAAACAATCATATATAGAATCAGCATTGATCAAATGGATACACTTTTATTTGCAAATCAAATGATCTTGCCTATTTCTCACTGTCAGAGAGGCTTTCAGTGAGCAAGAGAAGAAAGACATTTCCTTACATTTTGAGAATGCAGTCAGTGATTTTAAGCCAAATACCAGGAGTCTCATCCGCAGAGGCAAACAAAAAAAACTCTCCAATTTTTCTTTAGCGTGAAAAGAAAACACACAAGTCTATGTGTCTATGAGCTGTGAATTCTTGGGAGGGGGTTTTAATTTGAGGGATTCCCTGACTGATAATGATCCTTCTCCGACCAAGCGCAGCTCGCCAAAATTTTAGGGCGAGTCTCTTTTGTTCCTTTCATAACTTATCCCGTGAAGAGCCGTGTGTGTGTCTGTGTGCGTGTGTGTGTGTGTGTGTGTGCATGCGCGCATGTGTGCCACGGAAGTCTGACAGATCGCAGTCTGCAGAGTTTGCAGAGGTCTATTCCATTGAGCTTTTTTTGCAGGGTTAACATGCGCTTTTTTTTTTTTTGGGAGCTCCGAGTCGTTACCTGTCCGTGAACTTCACTTTGCTTCTTGAGGAAGACGTGCGGCTCGGTGGCCAGAGAAAAAATGTTGCCTATGATAGGGATGGGAGATGGACCGGGAGGAAATCCCGGAGGTCTTCTCTGTTTGACGAGCTGGCGAACCAGCAGGAAGACGAGGAGAGCGGCGGCCACAAAGATGAAACCCAGCAGAGCCTCTGCGCAGGAAACCGGCACCAGGGAGGGATATTTCAGTGAAACCATCTTCCCAAAAGTTCTTCGTTCCCTCTGCAGACAGGGCTGGTCCGACCTCGGCCCTCTACTCTGAGGAACTGAAACACCAATGTATCATCTTGCACATTTTCTATCCCCCGCCTCTAAGCCTAAGATTGGCCAGCAAAAGTGAGAGTCAACTATTTGTGAACTTTGTTCCAGCTCTTGATCAATAATTCGGCTCTTAGACATTTACGTGGCCGCCTTTTGGGGAGTTTTTCTGACAGGGAGGGAACAGCACACCAGAAATTGTACTCCGTGGAGCCTCTTGTTCAAGGTTATTACAATATTTTGGAGTGTAAAGTTGTGACTTTGACCAGTGCAAACGTGCAGGTTGTGGCATGAAGATAACGTTTGCACAGGACAGTAACCATACTTACGGGGATGCTATTAAACTCTTGAATATGCCAGCCATGTGCATCTGTGTCAGGTATTCTTTAAGCAATTTAATGCCTTTTTCTGCTTAGAATCTTTGAAGCTGTTGCTCGTTTCTGTTTGAGAGCCCTAACCCTAACCCTAACCTGTGAAGTGGGAGTGAACTTAAAAAGAATTTTCTCCTTTGCCTACAGCAAACCAACTGGCAAAAATATGTCAGATTTAAGAATTTCTGTGCAGTCACAAAAATTAGCAGGGAAAAGAAAAGAAAAGAAAAGAAAAACATGATTGCAGCTCATGACCCATAAAATGGATGAAAGTGCCTGAATTGTTTCATGCAGAGGTTTTTCCTCTTAAGTGTACTGTGGGAACTTCTTGCCAAAAATACTTCCAAACAAGAGGAAAACCCCACAATATTAAAGGCCACTGCCTCAGATGTTGAAGGGAATAACTTGCTTATTTCTTCTTTTTCTTGTTTGCTTTTCATTAAACTTTCATTTAATTTTGAAATCATCAGATTGTTCAGGGATGACATCAGATTCATGTAACCACATGCCCACTTTCTCCACCCTCACTATAGAACTATGGCTTAGACCACCTTAATCAGGTGTAGGCTCTCCACTTGGTCTGAGATACAAGTAAAACAATATTTATTCAGTTCGGAACCATGCGGCATATATTTGACGTAGATGAACGGATCATTTATTTTAAGAACAATTCAAAGAACATCTGTACAAAAAGGTCAGACTAAAAATGTCTGCACACTCTCACCCCTCTCTGTCGTAGCTCAGTGGCCTGCCCCAAAAAGGTGATCAATCAAGCAATTCCCTTCAGTTTCAGACTTTGGGCGGTCCCAGTTTGGGCCCCCGCACTCCGTCAAGACAAACCTCCAGGACATAAACCTGGTGGACGGGAGACGATTGTTTGGCAGCCAAACGATCAATGAAGTCTGAGTCAGAATTTGAATATGAGGCCATCTGTTGGGCAAGTGAGGCGAGGGCAAGCAAACCTTGCTCAAAACCAGGTCGCTCAACAGAACCGTGCTCCCAAGTGCACCAGCAAGTCTAAAGCTGAACAGCTGAAAAAACGAACCCGGCCTGGACTCGGATGAAATGCTCAGAGCTATGTTTCAAAGCATATAAAGTATCAAGTTATATCATACAAAATGAGTTTTTACCCTACAACATGGGTTTTTCATGGAAACCTTTTGCATTTTTGGCATACATGCATTGTTTCCCTGTATCTTATGTGAAGAGCTGGTAAGGACCTGATCTTAAAAAACCCATATCACAAATAAAAAAAATAAAAAAATCAGAAACATGTTGACCTGTCTTTTGTGTTTGTTTGTATCATGTAAACAGTGATATGAATCTAACAAAAATTATGATTCTTGCAGATGGTTACAGAAAGGCTCGTAAAAGGAGCTGCCTTCATTTTAAAAGTAACCGATATCTAATAATCGGCAGCACCTTTATTTCACCTCAACACAATAAAAGGCAGGTTATGTCCTACTTTTAGTGGTGAGAGGATGCAAAATATTCCAAACATACAAAGTTGTGTGCACCTTCTCAAGCTTGTAGGCCAAAATCTACACAGAGGTGCCATGTCAGACACACCAGGACCGAATGGGGAAAAGACAGAAATCTAAAAGTTTAAAGTACTTGCCAAACTATTTGAAATGATCATTTTCCTCACAGTAATATGCACTTTGTAACAAGTTATGTTTTGCAAATGGAAAGGAAGAATGGTGAGAGGTTGCAGATTTGAACCGAAATCGAAATAATCCCCTTAGTGATGGATTTTAAAACTTTAAACAATGTGCATGGGTTTGGAACCCTGCTTGAAGCCAGGTTAGTTATGACCAGCTCCTCAGTGAATATGAAGTTGTTTATACAGCTGTTCCTTCCTGCTGAGGCAGCTGGTAAGTCTGACCCCCTCCTCTTCTTTTCAGATGGCCCAATGGCCTCTTCAGACCTCTCCCAATCACGTTGATTTTCAGGACACCTAATGAAAATATTCTGGTTTTATTTAGTAGCTTCCCTCCCGCTGCACCCAGAAGTAAAATCAAGTTTGATGAGCAGAAATGTCAAATTCTCGTCTCACTGGTGCCTTGATCAATCAAAGCACTTATGACAAGAGCGTCCAGGTGTTTTATTTGGACCGGGCCTTTAAAATAAAATTGGGATGGATTCAGACAAGCCAGAATCTGACTGAGTGTCAGATCAGTCACTGACGATGTTAGACAAAGTTTTTGCTGCAAGTTCCTCAAAAATCTTCAGAACTTAGTGTGAAATTACCTGAGACAGGTGTCAAGAAAAAGCCAACGTGAAGATGAGGAATGATGGTAAATTACGTGTTGATGTGTGGCATAACATTTTACATCTCCAACGTCTGATGAGCTAGAATAGAATTGAACAGTAGGGGTCAATGTTATCTTGATAATATATCATGTTGTAGAAAAAGCATTTTCAATACAGTGTAACAAAACTTTTACATCTGATGTTTGCGACATTCTACACTACCCATTACTTAGAGTTACAAATTATTTAACTTGAATTCTTTCTACTCTTACTTCTATTTAAAGATCTATTCAATTCTCCTTGGTTCAAGATATCCCTATTGCCCCAGTATCTTAAATGTGACGTCTACACAATCATACTCTCACATAAATGTCAAACAACTTATTGTTGACTACCTGCTTTTCATAGTTTGGTCAAACTGAGAATTACATTCCTGGCTTCCGTTATCCTCTGATGCTAAAATTGGCATTTGCACCTCTTGAAAGAGATGGTTGTGTTACTCAATAATCAGTCAGGCTGCGCTGGTCAGTGGTCAGTATAAAGAGGTGTGAATAGTACCTGACTAGTTTGGCTTTACTGTGGGTCATGTGTTAGTTTGAGTGAGTGGCTCCCCTGACCACAGTGTTTCTGTGGTGAATTATTTACCATCTGAGTGACTGGAATTATCAAGTGCATGAGGAAAGTCTCATTACAGACCTACTTTGTAAATCCTAATGTCGTCCGGAACCTCTTCTCTTCTAACACCGTAATGACTGTGGCAGGAAAGTCAAGAGATCTAGTAATCCTTCTGCAACTTCTGGGCAGGTGTTTAAATGTTAGGTTAGGTTTAGTAAGCCCTCTAATGGATACCAGCTGTGGAATACATGTGTGCGGTTCACCTCAAAGTAGACCTCTTGTTCTGCAAATATCCCCCCTGTCCTGCTTTTTTCTATGTCGAATACAGTTTTTGTACACAGTTAAAAAAGAAAAAAACATTGTTGACCATTTGCAGTCGAAAGTGGGTCCTGTATTCTGACGCCTGCTTTAAAATGTCACTAAATACTTGTTGTTTGATGACCTGGTCCAAATAGAAGAACCCATTCATCACTCGCCGCTTCTGTATTCATTTGGCCCGCTTCTGTCAAGGTAACTTTAGATTGAGGCCTTCTTGCTTATCTGGTACTAGACTGAACATAAAACTGTGTTCAAGTTCCTACATTAATCCACATTAATGTAATTCTATAAGCCCTTTGCCTCCTTCGAACTCTCATTTGTGATACACATTCCTTTTGAATGTGCTCTAGATCGTAGGTGAGGTTCATTTAACTTTTAGAAGGTAATTTACAGTCGAACAAAGATCATTCTTTTCTTTCCAATGCTGGTTCCCTCATCGTATGTATTGTAAAAGCGATGATATGTGAGACCTTTGGATGGAGTTGTAAGATTCAGCTCAACATGAGCAAGTGAGATGAAGGAAGTTCCCATTATTTTTAGCCAAGTGTCAAACTCTTCTGCTGCCACTGTCAGGAAGAAGACACAACGACAATAACTGGGCTGAGACTGTTACGGATGAGCATCGCTGTGAGAATGATGCCGCCCTTTCTTTGACGAATGCTCTCCTGTGTTGTAATTAATTTTCCAGACCGATTCATGCCCACTGTTAGGGAATGTGAACAGCGTGAGCTAATTGCAGTCTTGTCAATGTGCATTTCCCCGTGGAACGTTCCTTTCTTTGACTCGTGTCCATCGTTGGAACAGACAGTTGCGAATGAAGGCCTCGGAGTGATGTTTGACGAGTGCCACATAGAGGCAAGAAGATGCGTTGGAGACTACGTCACATCCTAATCTGTGTCAGTGAGAGGGTGAATGGCAGTGTCTTATAGCCGTTTTCATGTTAGCATTGGGCTCCCAGGTTGCCTTTATTTTTCATGCTTGTGACTTTGTATCTTCGTGTACAAGTGCTACTGGTTTGAGACAGCATTTGAAGCAGGATGTGAGTAGTCAGATGAAAGTCATATTTAATTGTGTCACAGGAGGATTCTCCAATACAAATAAGACAATTAATGATAATCACTGAGGATGGGATCTCTTTGCTCAAAAGTCATGTGATCAGGTTCTGGCTTGCATGTGGCGCAAATGGAGACTAATTTATTGCCTCTGGTATTTGGCCTGCAGGTCAGCTCAATAGAACTAAAAGGCTCATCCACTCTAATAAGTTTCCTTGTGACGCCAGAACTAACCGAGAGGAAGGATGCTTGATGATGCATCATCCAATATTGTTACATAAGGGAAATTAGAGGATGGCCAGAAACCAACAGTCCAGTAATTAGCTCAGTGAAAGTGGATGGACACACATAAACAGAGGTTTTAGTTTATCAGTGGAGGGTTGGGATGCTATTCCCACTGACAAAAAAATGTGTAACAAATTAATGCAACTCAGAAATTGCCTCCAAACTCTGGTATTAACCGACACACTTTTAATTGTCCAGCAGTGCCTGACTGGGCGAGTTGCATTCAAACACGGAGTAGCAATTTGTAACCAGAGTACTTTAGCCAATGCTCCTACTTGTCGAGGTACAAACACTCCTTACAAAACATGATTTATAGATGAGCATTGTATTATTTACTTTACTTTTGTGAACAGTTTAGCTATAGTTTCAAATGGCAGTGCACATCAGTATTTTGTTGAAACAGTCCATAATACTGTAAGTTGGACTATCGGCAGTTTAAATTTGACCCTATTCCCCTCGGCATGCACACAATATGTTTAAGTGGGACTCGTCTTTTCCTCCGCAGACTGTTCACTGTCTTTCTTCAACATATAGTCTTACAGGTCATAAATGCATGTTCAGTCCATTGGAGCATGACAACTGGAGTCAGAGTGTGTAAAAAACACACAAACATTAATATGTGCTTATATGTGAAGTTCCGGTACCAACTGATTAACAGCACAACCATCTTTTGTGAATCAAGTACATTGATGACCATGCACTGATGTGATTTGCATACAAGCACTTTCACTGGCTTGCTGTGAGTCACATAGGACTTCTGATTGGCTGGCAGTTTGAGGTAAAGCATTGGTCTGACCAATAGACTTTTTTCAAATCTTTACCCAGTCAACAAAGAAATCCATTGGGAACATATATAAAACCTCATACTGTGAGAAACCTCAGCAGATACAAACTAAAACGCTCGTCAATTTAAAGTTCCATTTGCAGGAGATCCTTTATCTGAACGGTAAGTGAACTGCAGATAACAGTTTATTTGTGTTTTCTGTTGTTGGATGTTTTATTGTTGCATCTGATGCTTTGGACTTTGGAGATGAGTGAGTTGCTTTGTACAATAATTAGTGATTCCTATGACAAAGTATACCCTGCTGCTTAAATGATGATTTGCTGTCCATGGCAGGATGTTGTTAACCGTACTAATGGACATAACTTTTTTGTCATGGTTGCTGGTAAAGAACCCAATTTCTGTACAACACTAATAACTCTTCAGTCTATCTGGATAATCCAAGGAGCATGACAAAACATGAAGGAAGAAAAGGTCATGCAAAGTGTATTTAAGAAATCCTTTTCATTGTCTTGTTTGCTAAACTCTTCCACAGAGAAACATGACCATCTTTAAATTCTGGGCACTTCTTCTTGCCTACGCATTGATCATTTGTCAGATGTCCATCTCAATGGCAGCTCCGCCCAGGTGAGACCTGAAGAATACTCCCTATCATTACCATATTTTTTTGTTCTCTGAAAATGTTTTTTTTCACAACCAAATAAGAGTTACCGTAGCATGTTAATTTAATGTCTGTTTTCAGAACTAGTAAGGAGTCCATGTTGGATGGAGTCACACTATCAAACGATGATGCTGAAATGCTTCTCAGAGCTATAAAGGAGTTCATGCAGATAACCTCAGATGATGCAGGCCAGCAACGAGTTGAAGGGGAGAGGTAAGGGTGTAGTGCTATTACCATCATTATATAATCAATGATGTGCTCGTAAATTGTAAAAGACTTTGTGCACAAGCCCGACAGCTCATGCTTTGGAGTAAATTAATTGCCAAGGTATACAGTGACATTTCTGAACATCCCTCTGTTACGGCACCCTATTGCATGGATGAACCATTTCATTCATTTAAACATCCATTTGTTCCATTTGAAATGACCTGCCTGCTGGTCAGCATCTGGATGACGATAAAGAGCATGGTATCACGCATGGCCAAATTAAGCCACAGAAAGACGTGAACGCAGAAAGAAAACATATTTGTTTGACATGCCTGCTGGATCTCTCATCATGCCTTGGAAATATCCGATGTAGTTTTTCTGTTAATCCATGACATTCCAGACAAAAACCATGCATGTAATCATCAGCAGTTATCTGCATGTTACTGTGCTGTAAGCCTGTTTTCTGCATGTTTCTCTCCATCTCTAACAGCCTGGATAGACCCGTGTCTAAGCGCTGCACCGGCTTAAGCACGTGTGTGTTGGGCAAACTCTCCCAGGACATTCACAAACTCCAAACCTTTCCTCGCACTGATGTGGGAGCTGGGACACCGGGCAAGAAGAGAAGTCTATCTGAGCAATATGAAAACTACAACAGCTAATTCAATTGAAACTCTCAGTTTAAACAGATCTAAGATATGCTTCTTCATCCAGACCTCGACACACACGATTTTGAAAAGAAAAAACAAGAAGTGTTTCCTTTAGTTTTATAATCCCATACAGTGGATCTTAGCAGAGATCCACAGAGCTGCAAAATTGTGGCAATTCTGTACAATGCAATAAAAAACATGAGAACAGCTTAAATACTGTCTGATGGTCTCTCATTTTTCTCCTATAATCAGTTTTTTTCATTCATTTAACGACTCATTTCACTTCAGGCTATTTTAACCTTTTTTCGAGGAAAATGTATAGTACAATGAATGAGAGAAGGGGTAAGCATGACTACTGATAAAATACACACTGTCCCTGGATATTTTCCTGAGAACATTCTCAGCGTTCATTGTGTGTTGCTTTTGCCGGTTTTTGCAAAGGCTGCTTGACCGAGTCCAGTCTGGTTGTTTATCATAATTGACTGCCTTCTTTTATTCTTGCAAGCAACGCAACTGCACAAAAGCGGGCGTGCAACACGGCCACCTGCGTGACCCACCGCCTGGCAGACTTTTTGAGTCGGTCAGGGGGGCTGGGACACAGCAACTACGTTCCAACCAACGTTGGAGCCCAGGCGTTCGGCAGAAGGAAGCGGCAGGGTCCCATGTAAGAACAAGACCAGTGACATGGTATGTCATTGCTTTACACTCATTCTGACTGACACCATAGATAATGTAAAAAAAATATATATATATTTGAGTTGAAATATACATTTTTCTGTTTGTAGTGGGGCTTGTTGATCAGAGAATCTGTCACACACAAAGCACATCTACTCTGTTTAAGCATATATTCCAAAAGTGGAACGTGGATGTTAGCAAAGCCAAATAACTTTGCTCTTTGGATCTCAGAGTGTCTTCCTATTCTTTCTACCGCTTCCTCTTCTTTCTTTACATCTTTAGGACGAAGTGCCTCGTCTCTCCATTGAAAAAAAAAAGTATGTTCACCCAATTACTCTATAATAAACATGATTCACGAAAGAAAGTCCAGTGCGACGTCTCGATGTCAGACAACTGGACCGTTGCTGATATCCATCATGAGGTCATCAGATTTCTGCCTCTGCCCTTCTGAGCTGTGACTGCATTACATTGTGCCTAACTGGAAGTCCAACAACACAACCCCATTACAACTGTGGCTGTCTCGTGCCTAGAAACACTTAACAATATGTCCATGTGTTGAACAAATGTGCGAAGTTTATTCATGCTGAATATTGTAATTATTGTGATCTGAGAGGTGGAATAAATTGTATTTTAGCTACATTTGGCACTCCTGTTTGTCTCTTTTTAAGGGTTAGAATGGGGGAAAGTACAAAATGGGACATGGAACCTGTTTCCCAGAAGCTTTAATAATACATGTGTTTTAAATATGCATGTTTTATTGTTTTATGGAACATTTCCACACCTGATACCACTCTTTATATGGATTTAGTCTTAGGAACCAAATGACCCATATCCCAACTTTTGTCAATTTGCCCTCAAGTGTTTACACTACTTATGTTTACTCATTAGTGTAATCATCACTTTTGGTTTTTATGTTATTTATTGTTTATTCTTATTATTCTTATTCTTATTTTCATGCTATTCATGTTATTGAGTAAAACAAAAAGTCACACAAAGTCAAGACTAATTTTGAAAGTAGTATTCATTTAATTAGGAAATTAGGAGAAATATTTTTTGGTTAATGAAAAGATTAGTATTCTGATTATTATGAATTATTAACAAGCTGAAGAAGTCTGAATCTGAAATGTTTTTATCCCTGCTTATCATTAGATTATTTACAAAAAATTATCAACTGACTGAAACATTTCGATTGTCATTTTCCATCTATAAGTTAACCTCCTATGTAAATCCCTAAAAATAGTTTATTTAAATTGCTTTCCAGTACTGTATCTATCAGGACATTGCTCTGCAAAAACTCTTGTGTTCCTTAGCTGCCTCCAATGCTGACACACAGCAAAGATTTAGCCTTACACTCTGCTGCTTTCATGAGATGCTCGGTGAGTGTTGTCAAAATAATGAATATAATCAGTGCGGCAGATGTAGTGATATATTTCTTTCATAATGAAAGCAAAAGTGCACTAGTTGCAATCCACAAAGTCATTAAAAGTTAATGGTTCACCGCCAGAGTCTTAACAACCGATGAACATAGCTACAATCATATCCAAGATGAACCTGTTCTTCCATCTGAAAAAACAATGCCCACTGATTCTTGTTGTGGTGTGGTGGGTAGCACTATCACAGCAAGAGGGTTCTGGGTTCAAGTCCCTGGGGGAACCAGGACCTTTTTTGTGTGGAGTCTGCATGTTCTCCCTGTGTCTGCGTGGGTTCTCTCTTTGTAATCTGGCTTCCTCCCACTGTCCAAAAACCTGCATGTTAGGTGGATTGGACATTCCAAATTGCCCCTGGGAGTGAGAGTGAGTGTGAGTGTGTGTGGTTGTTCCTCTCTGTGTGGCCCTGCGATGGACTGGCCGACCGTCCACGGTGTAGCGCTGCCTCTCTCCCCATTGACCACCAGGATAGGCTCCAGCCCCCCCGCGACGAATAAACGGTTCAGAAAATGGATGGATGATTCTTGTTGTGTTCACAACAAGCACTGATCTCAGTAATTCAGTTAAACGATTCCTTTAGGTTGCAGGTAAAACATGTAAAAACAGAAAAATAAACATTTAATTTCATGCCAAAGTTACATAATAATGGGCTGCACGGTCACTTCACAGCAACAGGGTTCCCGGTTTGATTCGCTGGGGGACTGTCAGCCTCTGTGTAGGAATGTGTAGGACAAATTATCATTGGTCACTTGCTCTCACCTTAGAAAATTATGGATTCAAAAAACGCGCCTTTCAGAGCTTTTCAGTGCAGTTGGTCACAATAGTCAAACATTTTAGCTAGGAAGGGAAACTACCTTTCTGCCATCACCAAACATAATAATCTCTTAGTGTTCTCAAAACGTTCTGGCAAGCCACATTTTAAACGTTGTAATGCTAAATTGCTTTCTTAACAATCATGTGGAGGCACTGGAAGAAAAAGAGGTGGAGTTATTCACAATGGTTTGTCTTTTATTACACAGGTTTGGTAGGCAGGTCTGAACCAAACCAATAAACTATAAAGGCTTAATATGGAAGATTTACACATCCACACAGGATGGGAAAAAAAAGATATAAAGGAAACTCAGACTTTGGAAGGCACATCACCCAATCTGTAAATAAATCAATTATCCATGTGAAAGTAGCGTGCCTTCCCAACCCATTTCTCATGTGGAGGTCAGAAATCAACTGTCTTTAGCCGTGGAGACACAGATTTGATTTCCGTTCACAGCATTCTTAAATAAAGTTGAAAAAATGCACTTAATGAAGATTGAAATGCAAATAGCAACCAAATAAATGTCATCAGATCAACCTCTTTTTCCAACCTATGTAGGAACTGTCAATGCTACTATCAATGAAAAAGTACTGAGGCAGGGAAACAGAAAAAAAATCCCAAAGGCTTATCTGATGGTTTTGTTTGTCTGAAAGACAAACTGACCAGCTGGCAGATGACACTCTGAGCCTCATTTCGATTGTCTCCCAAGCAGTTGCTTCGGAGGTCTTAAGAAATATCTGAATTTGAATGCATTCCATCTTAAAACTCAGCAAACCTCTTGAAACTGTTGCGTTGGAGTTGTGTCATTAGAAGATTAACGTTGACCCCCCCACACCCCCACACCGTGACCAGGGATTGAATCATTCAAGTTTGCCAATATAACATCCAACTCTGCCAAGATCAACTCCATCATATCTCCTCTGTTATTGTTATTGTTGCCTAATCTTCTGTTTCTCACTCTGAATGTGGTTCTTCTCTTGATTTGTTGCCAATAAATTGGCTGTGGATGAATTGGTAGCATTTCTTTACATATGTTCAACCATGAGTGTGTTTGAAGGCCTTTGGAGGCACTGCGTGGGAGGTGTGTGTATGTGTTTGCGCTTTACTACCGTTGATTGTCCTCAGTGCTACAAACACAACAAACCATTTCAGATAACAGGTGAGAACACAAGCGGTCAATAGAAGCAGCTACCGATGTTGCATCACATGCATCTGGGGAATGTGACGCGGTTTATCTCCAGTTGTCACAGGTATGTTTTGCTGGCAGACGAAAAAAAAAAAAGACCTGCCCACACTGCTGACTAGCAAACACAAACAAGGGTTAAAAATGGACAATTACCATTGACTAACTGATCGTTAGGCTAAATTTACCAACAAATTTGATCTGCAGTAGTCTGGGCATCCCCCGACCTGACGCCTGGATGTTCACACAGAAGGGGAAATTTTTTCTATATTGTTCTATTTGCTGTGTCTTTCACTTAATGTCAGTGATGCCAGTTGTATGAAACTCACACAATAAATTTATTCCAGCCTTTTCATGCTAAATTATTATTTTGTGTGATTGCAACAGAAAAGTGAGCATTTTCTGCAACATATGAGTTCTGATTCAGGAGAAACAGCAGCTGCCAGGGGACTCATAGCGTTTTTAATAATTGATTTACTATTGTTACTATAGTTTGTTTGAATTGAGGGACATGCACAGAAAAATAAGGAAGAGGAGAAACTCCTGAGAAAAAAATTACTACTGCTACAAAAAGAGACATCCTGATAAGTGATAGTCACAAGATCACAACAAGGAGTTTTCCAGGAAAGCAAAAATAAACCAGCCCCAGTATCAAAGAATTTCCGATTGTAATATCACCAACGACATTTAAAATGCACACATTTGTGTTGCTAAAGTTGAACTTAACTTTTACAGCCACTTCATGGCAACATTTTTCTTGTAGTCTTGTGGTACTTTATTGCCATCGCTTGAATGATGACTTTTGTTTTGTCTTCGTGACATATGCCATTTCATTGTCTACTTTGTAGTTATTCCATTACCACAAAAGAAAATTTAGCATTTCTCTTCATGATGTAGGCAAGAGCTGGTGGTTATCGTGATGATCTAACAGCCCCCTTGAGAATAGTCTGTATTTCGCTTGGGTATCTCTGTAACGGACCCTGAGTTCTGTGGTTGGAAATTCTCCCTAATTAATATGATTGATCAACCATCTAGTTGACTTATTCACTGTATGCCTCTTAGGACTTTTTAAAACTTTGAACATCAACAACAAAAGTCTCTAAAAGTATAACTCAGTAATAAAACTGGATAAGACTTCACGAAATGAATTCCCTCGTAAATCAAATCTGATCGGTCATTGTTCCACTTATGGAAAAGGTCTGTATTGAGGGTTGTGGTAAATCACAATATTAATGTTTCCTCTCTAATTCCAATAAGTCTTTGTCACTTCAACGTACCAGTAAAATGGTTAATGTTGAGGAAAAACGATGTACCAACAAGATCTAATGAATGAAAGTGCCTTGGAAAAAAACAGTTTGAAAGTCACAACTTCAACAGGTTGAAACAGTTTACGTCTCTTTAGAAGGAAAGTGTTCTTGAAACAAATGCAGACTGACAATACATCCTTAAGATAATTAACTGGAGGAGAATAGGGATTTTTCAGGGTGTCTTTGTGACCATGTGAAACCCCCAAACGGAGCTAATGAAGGAGAAGAGGGCCAGTGTTATACTTGTTTCAGGGTCTCAGTGGATTCGAGTTGCCAAAAGTCTGCGGTGTCGAGGGACAAACGTCTGTCACTCTTGTCTCATCACCATCTGGATGCCAAATTAAAAGTTTTTGTTTCTTTACAAACATTTTTTCTGGACAACAAAAGGTCATTATGTCACACGCTGAAGAAGTCTGAACATTGTCTGGGGAATAGGATTAGTGAACTGTCTAAAGCTCAGTAATGGGAAAAGGCAGGGAATACATTTAATAAGATTGATCTATTGATATAAAAAAAATGTGAAAATCTAAATACTTAGGACTGACAAAAAAGCAAAAAATTAACATAGATGATTACAAGAAATTTAAGGGAAAAAAAAGAAAAACCGGCAATATGAGAAAAAGTGGAAAAACCAGAGAGCCTGAATAGAGAGGAGAGTGATTACTGAGTGGAAACAGCTGAGGAAAATGAACACGGGTGTAGGGAGTGGAGCGGAAGACCAGACTGGAGGGGAACCCAGGAACTAAAAGTGAGAATGGCAAGGAGATAAAGCAGGAATGAGGAAAACACAAATATATTAAGAACACAGGACCAGCAGCTAATAACAAAACACTACAAACTGAGAGGAAAAAAGCACAAATAAACCACAGATAGTAAAATGACCAAAACTACAGGGAATTTCAAAACTTGGAAAGGCAGAAATCCAAACCAGAAATCACCATATATGATGATGACAAATCAAATCTGAGTACCAACAAAATGATTGTAATGATCACTTACTTATTCACTTAGGTGTGTCCTGCTTTTTACATAACTATGTGAATAACTGTTGGAAATTACTCAGTTTTCATGATTGTTTTCACAATGGAAAGTCTCGTTTAGCCAGATGCAGCTAAACAGAGCATGATACAGTTACTGTCCAGATGGGAGAAAGGAAATCTCTGGAATGTTGTGCTTCCTTTCTCGAACAGTAACTCGCAAAATGTTCAATTTGATCTCATCTGTCCACGGTTTCCAACAGTTTATCAGGTTGTCAAGGGACTTTTAGAATAAATAAGACAATGGAGGTTAAATCCTTTCGGGAATAATTTTTTGGAATTTCCAAACAGGAGCTGGGTTTGTATTTGAGTTTGTAAATCTTTTGCTTATATTTCATCATAACTTAGCCACAGTCTCAAAGGTAGATCTCATAAATCTCTTACAGTTGAAGCATAGGCAAACGCATAAATGTTTGGTTATTCAAAGCAGGAAAGTATTTTTCTGTTCATCTGGATTTCCAAAGGGTTTTTTCTTTTGAAAATAATATTTTTCTGTAGATGTATTAAAGAACATTCATGAGTCGGTAAGATAAAAATGTTGAATTAGTTGGAATTCTGATTGACAAATGATAACTCCAAACTAGTCCACTAATTTATACCTATGAGAACTTTGGAAATTATGGAGACTTTCCAAACTTTGAACTGCTGAATTTCTCTCCTCACATCTGTCATCGTAGTGACACACTGCATAAAAAAATCTTTCGTCATCGATGCTGATGAACATGATAAATTGACATGATAAATGGCTGAGTTCTGTACATTAAAAGTCAAAGATGTTCTGAGGAGGTCTGGCTCTTCCGCACCACGGTGCCATCATGTGGTGGTGTGCAGTTTTGGACAAATGTGAGGATTCATAGGTGGGAATGGAGATACAAAAGACACTGTTGATGCGTCATTGCTGTCATAAAGAATAAATTTAGTTGAGGATATTTTAACAGTGCAATGGAAGTTTCTTACACAACGATTATTCAAGAAGCCTTTTTGAAATAATTTTGATTCAGGATTATGTAATTATGGTTCAAATAAAATGGAAACATAACCCTATGAGATGGATAACTAAAGAAAATGAAACCATCATGAATTTCCTTTAAGCCAAAGGAATAAATATAAATTAATTCATATGAAAAATATATTTTTAGATTATACAATTCTTCAAAAGGCAAAATCAGGTGATGGAAGTTACATAATTATGGTAAATTTAATTCCATCGGTGGCAATTTATTCTAACTGAAACTTTGTCAGATTGTTTCTTAGTCTTTCCACATATGCCTCATCCCATTAATCAGTGACATTCACTGAATTAAATTGATCAATTCAGCAAAGTTGACTCTGATGATGAGCTTTAAAGATTTGCCAAAACACACATCAATAAGTATTCTCAGCTAAAAAAACAGACACTCTGCCAGCTTCAACAGCCTTTTTAATAATACAACACTTTCATATTCTATTCATAATGCACTACAGTGAACACTGCACCCATGTCTGCAGGGTTTAATTTAATGTAATTCCAAGGCCTAATTTGACTTCCTACATGTCAGTGGAAATGAAGCTTTTGTATTTGATCTACATACCCTACGCTTGGATTTTCCCTAAGACTTTCAAGATTTCGAGAAAAACTTAGTACATGTTATTAAATAGAAATTATAAAATGGAAAAATCAGAACTCTGATATCAAAGAAGTGGAATACAGACAAGCCCCTTAATGACTTGCTGTTTTCCTTCTGGCCTGGTGGACACTGTGGCCAGAAGGAAAACAGCAGGCCATTAGTGAAGTTACTTTAAGAATGACAATAACCACCAGATATTTTGTGTATCAAAGTGTTGCAAGCGTTGGGGATGGAAAAATACTAATTATTTGTTTTTGCAAAGTTCCCACATACTTTTCTTCACCCCAGTTAATCAACAATGTAATATCTGTTAGTATACTCTAGATGGCAGCAAAGAGCCATACCATGCCCAACTATGTTACATCTAATTAAATCAGAATACTGTTTTTGCTTCTTTGTCTGATAGTTGGTAAAACAATGATCCCCATTCTATTCATTTAAAACTGTAACATAATTTAGTCACGAATGAAAATTTAAGTATTTTTGGAAAAATAAGTGCTAAATTGTCCAAAAGATTAAGGTTAAGATCAGTGTGTTTGACTAATTAATCTAATTGTAAATATAAGCATGTTGCTTTAGCAGAAGAATTATTTTTCATTATACTGTTGGACGTGTTTTTATTTATACATACCTGTGCTCAGTCACATTCAGGTTGTCAATATCATTAAGTCTTGATCGGTGTTGGTGCATAAATCTTTTGAGCCACTTTTCAGTCCATATTAGAAGGATATGAAGAAGTCACTTTACTGGATTTTAGAAAAGTGAATCTAGCACATTATGGTTTCACCTGTTGGTAACTGATGTGTAAAGAATAACACAAGAAAACCTTTGTTCTTGAGCTTAATTAGGGTCTTTTTTAGACGTAAGTTGCCAAACGCAGAGTATCACAGGCCTCGCTCAAAATGCCTCCATCATTCGCTGGAATGTAAATGAATTTCTAAGAACAACATTAGCATTTGCAAGGCCTTCATTGTGCTCTGTTTTCCTCCCGTTCTTGCTGAAGGCCACCTTTGTAGGCATAGGAATATCCTGTGCGTACTCTGAAAGCGTGATGTGTTCAACTGCAAGTTAGGGAGGGATTTTAGGAGAAAGACTGTGTTTGGTAAAGATGCCCATCAAACATTCTTTTAAAGGAGAGTCAACATATAGCCCTAATGGTGAGATTCCTCTTTAGGGCAGCACCGGGGGACCGTGCTGGATGATGAAACATGCAATGGTATTCGATCTGACTCCTGGTCATACATGCAGAAGCTACAGGCACCTTACAGACCGGCTACATTGCTTACTACTTCAATTAGACATTGGCAACTTCTATAAACCTCACTGTGGGGAAAGTTTCAGTGACTAACAAAAAAAAGTATATGTCAGTATATGTGCATTTTTGCAAATGGCTACCTACATTTTTGTTTCCACCCATAAATAGAGACATCATGCGGATGATTTTGTTGAAACCTTTGGAACAGCTAAAGGAACTGAGGCCAATGTATTTCTCCCGGTAATGAATCAAATCACCAAGAGAGAGTTGGCCTTTCATTTTATGTGACAAGACAATTATAGTACTAATCAATCTAAGGTCAAGTTGTTTAAACGAATGTGGCCACTACATTGCGTTTTTAGACTACTTACACATAACACGTTCAAAGTCTGCATGCTTTATCTCGCTGACACCATTCCTGTTATCGCACCATACCAGTGCTCAGGACACCATCACACACCTTTGCCCTCGCGTTACCCCTCACACTCCAGAGATAAGATACTCACATGCTACTCATATTGTCTTCCAGCCACACTTTTAACTTCAAAGGCTTGCCCAGCCTTGTGTCTCAGGAGGAATGGAGGCGCCACGGCAGCCAGCCTTTGCTACTTCGCCATGGTTAACAATGACTGCAGGCTGAAGCACCTCCCCACGCCTCCTGACACCGTAGCAGGGGAGGTGGAGAGAGGAGTTAGTGTCCTGTTGCTCCACAGCACTCTGCCTTGTGCCCTACCATCACTGAACCTGTCCCTGTGAAACAGAGGTGCATTATGAGCCCCTGTTACAAGACTGCGTTTGTTGAGATCTCTGTATGTATAAGGAACAGCTCCGCTGTGGACTAAGGAGCTCTACAGCAGGTTGGCTCACCATGGATGCAGGCGTTGGCTCGTATAATTACAAAGGAAAATAAGCGCGCATGTCAGAAATAACCTAAAAGAGTTGGATTGCATGACATCGAGAGGTAACATAAGACACAAAGTCCAAAATAATTTACAATAGTTTTTTTTTTTTAACGCATCCAAATTGTATCAGTATGTGGGTTGCATTTTGGGTTTATTCATGCTTTACTCAGGTCTGGAAAGGGTTCTCCCAGTTGAAATGGTGAGGTTCAGCTCAAAGGAACAATGTGCTGGATTTACTTTATTATGAACAAAGCCTTTGTCTGAGGTGCACTCATACTTTACAGGGGTCCAGAGTCCAGGAGCAGCTTTGAACTATCAGGTCAAAGACATCACAGATCCAACACGGTTTCACATTCATCTTGTGCCTCACACACAAGGCCTGTCACATTTGTCCTTTTGATTGTCCTGCATTTCTTTAAAGGTCTGGCTGGAACCATAGGTCATCTAGGGGCTTTTATGTAGGCAAAAACAAACAGTCTGTTCTTCTTCTTGACTTAGGGGAAGAACTATAGAAGAGTAACAGCTCCCACTTGTTAGCACTGCGTCCTGTCACAGGACAAAACAACAACTGAATGGAACAAAATTTCTCCTTGAAGTCAAAACCACAAATTGCGTTTTTTGGGGGAAAAGTGAGCTTTAATTGAATCATAGAAAAGGGCCTTGCCCGTATCAATAGAAAGGTGGGCATAGATATGAAATCCACTGTCATGAAATATGCAAAGCAAGCCCACCACAGAGAATAGCTGAAAACACAGGTTCTTTTGATGTTAAGTCCTTTGGTTGTGCATGTCTTCATTCAACTAGCCTGTGGATGTTTTAACCTTCTGTAAAACTTGCTCCAGCACTGCACTCTGCCTCTCTACATCAGAGTAATGTGGATCTGTAGTTCTGCCCATGATTTTTATTTCATGAACACTGTAGTTCTCTTTGCCAAGGTTTATTAGCACCTAGTGTTGCATTTACTATGCAGTTCTCTGCTCACTCCTGTTATAATTGTTATCAACATCTCGGGCGTGATCATTTCTCACACGGTGAGAATATCCCTGTCTGACAATGAACAGTGGTGGACATGTATTAATCAGTACGCTATGTGAACCATACTGTGCAGTAATTAAATGAAAATACCTGGCTTTTAGGTAACGGCTTGGCTTTTATGTTATTGGTTTCTTCTATTTTCTTCCCCCCCTCACAAACACCTCCCTGTCTCTCAAAAACTAAAGAAGTACAAATGGGACTAATAATCAATCAACCATGGAACATGTATCCTTTGACTCCAGGCTATTATTGCGCCGGGTGTCTTGTGTGGTATCGACTGCTTGAGTTTTGATGATCCATTCTCAGATGAGAGGAAGCATATCTGTCCATCGAGCATGACAAATGGGAGATGAAACACAATGCTTTACATGCTCGAGTGAATAATCTCATAAAAAATAACATCTTTGCTCCAGCTGTATCTGGTCCTTGCTCAGTGTGCTGCATGCGGAGGTCTCTTTTCTGAGCTGTAAGGACCAGGCAAAGTCCCAAAAATGATCAACACGCCACTGCTCTTATAGGCTTTCAACACTGCTGAGGAGAAAGTGTGGATTATTTGGTATTCACTGGACATAACAAGGCCCTTGATGTAGCCAGTGTTCTCTTTGCTCACCAGGAACATCAACATTTAATGAGACCTGATATCAGCCTTTTTAGAAGCCGTGAATATTTCAAATAAAAGCAAATTGTATTCACCAACACCGACAAACTTTGAGGCGGTCAGCGGTTTATTGTCACCTGTGTGTTCCGTCTGATACTGCACAGGAGTGGTGCCTTTGTGTAATAGGATATGTTCATTAACACAGACCCATTTCACTCCCTCTTAATCAGCAACACATATGTCATGGGAGCATAGTGCCCGGAGCTAAAAACTAGTGCATAATTTATAACTGCAGGTCAGGCTGTGCAATGAGTGCATATTATCTCAACAAAGATGCATTACCCTTCCATCATTCCATATTTACTTAATGTCTTGATGCAGGGTTAATTTTCCTCACAAAAGTGTCACAATCTTCAAAACGCTATTTCGGCATGTGAAGAAATGTTGGTGCCCATCTCGTTTTTGCATTTAATTAAGGTCCTCATACAGTCACCTTTCACTTCTGCAGCATCTGTTGAAGAATATGTCTCTCAGACAGAGGATGTGAGAGTGCGCAAGAAAGTGTCACAGGGAGCTGTGACTCTGCAGGTGTTTAAACTGTGGTGATGTAATTGGTCACAAGGGGAATAGAAACAAGAGCTTCACAGTCCTTGATTTGATCCCTTGGTTATTGATTTCTCAGTCTGCTTCTAACAGAAGTAATTGCCACATGTAATGTATTATTCAATTACAAGACACTGCTCTCAAGTTTGGGTTTGATGGTCCTTTTTGAATCACTGAGACCTATAGATAATTCAAGACTGTAAGCCCATTAAGCGATGTGAATATTAAAAGCCATGCGTTAATCCTGTCTATTTATTAGCAACCATGACATTCACCAGCACTCAAAGTTTCCCATTTTCAGCCTTTGTATAGTTGAAGGGAGCGAGCGTAACTTTGATTCACATTGAGACACATTGTTCTTGTGACTTCCAAATCTGGCTCATAAGGAGGGAGGCCATTTTATAGATGATATAAAGCTAAATCAAAATAAGGGGAGTTTTATGAGAGGCGAGTTGACACATTGAAATTAACAGGTGATGGAGTTCATTTGTGGCAAAACTCACATGACATTGTTGAAGACCATGTTAATTTAAGGAACGATATAAACTATATAGCACAATTTATTCCCCTGGGGATCCCCCCCCCCCCTCATTATATACTTGAAGAATGGCTTGAATGGACCCAAACAGGATGGAAAAATTCTATTCTATTGGATTTGGCACTGGATGCTTGGTCAACGACTTAGTCACAGCACATAACAATATTTCCCTGCACCTTTTTTGATATCTTTGGTATGAACTGGTACGATCATCTTTACAATAGAATTAATAGCTTTGGTCTTATTTACTGATGCGAAAGTCTGCATGTTTGGCCTGAAGAAAAGGAAAATAACTTAAAATGAACGTAAAATGTTTTCTTGTTTTTCTATTATCTTTTAAGGCTTGGAAAAAAAACGTGCTTTAGTGGCAGCTTTTGAAGACTTTTTTCTTTCAAATGAAGTCTAGATATGTGGGTAACTATAAGGAGCATGTTTATTTGGAGCAACCTTTCACCTTTAAGACTTAATACAAATACAAACAAGTTGTTGTAAATGAACACCTTTAAGACCATATCTATTTTGCTATATATGGTCCTAATCCTTTAATTATCTGCTCTGATATTTAATAAAAATGATTGTTTTAATGTATTCTATCTTATCAAAAGCTAACAGAAGTGAACCTACATACACCATCTGTAAAACCGGATCAAGAAATGTAATATTTGGTAATTACAGCACTTTTAAAAAATTGCACATTATTACAATAAAGTTTTACCTACATCCATTTATGGAATGGGCAACAATTGTGATTATCGTTGCATTAAGGAAGTGAAAAGAAACATATTTCCTTTGCTTTTTCCACAAGCTTGAAAATGTTGAAGTAGCAAGAATGTGCATATAATCTCTTTTCGCCAGATTAACTCCACTCCCATTTTAAGCGATGGAGTGATCCTTATACCTACTTTGACTTACAGATTACACAGCTTAGAGATTTGAATCTTTGCTTACCTCAGAAGTAGATGACAATTCACCTGGAAGGGATTTAGGGTTCTTTTATCATGACCATGCTAGGGGATGGGGCTCCTTAGAGATAAAATATGAATGAATTGAAATACTTGGTTGTATCACAGTCACTTGACTTGCCATTGCCATTTTTACTTCTGTCGGTCATTATCTGTCTATTCCATCCCCAGCTAGCTTGAAGAAAAGGAGAGTAAGATAATAAAAGATCATAAGTCCCAGATGTGGAACTGCACAACTGTTAACAATAACAAGCCAATTTTCAGAGTTGACAAAAACTAGACCATTGTAGTGTCCTGACACCAGAATGACATTTATTTGTGGGAGTTAGATGTGTTTTCACAAAGACCTATTTCTAGTATTTGTTTGACAATAGTTTGCCTGTTTGCCTCTGCCAGAGCAATCTATTGCTTCCTCTTTTTCCTACAAGGGGAGTCTTGATCTTATATTAACTCAAAAGCTGTCCGCAGAATCAAAGGAAAATCTAGCCCATCGCAACCATCTTTGTCACAATATAAATATACAATGGTATATTGTACATCTGCTGAATGGCATATTGGCTTCTTCTTCTTCTTCTTTAAAAAGTATAAACTAATACACAATGCCTTTTCAGTTTCTCTTAGTCACTCTATCTGAAGCTTTGATATGTTGAACTTTTTTTTCCTGAATAGAAAACTTGTACATAAGAATTCGGCATAGTTTTCTTTGGCCAGTCTAAGTTACCCACCCCAACAGTGTAGATAATGAATATTACATATGAGTCAGCCTTCAAATATTAGACAGTGCCCCCCCACCTGTCTTTACCAGGCCTTTTACTTAGACTTTAATGTGGATAGACCTGTTTTTTGGGAGATGAACAGATGCACAAGATGCATTTACATGCATTAATTTGTTTCTTTAATAGATGCTTTAGCACCTATAAGATGATTTTGAACATGCACGTTAAATCTCTTTCTATGCCATGATTGTCAAATAAGTAGAATCTTTGCGAGTAATGGATATCCACCCTTTCAGTGGATGTCCAGAGATCTATTGTTTAAGCAGCAATAAATGTGCACTGATGCTGAGCAAATTATAGTCCGGCCTCTTAGTGAGACGCTTTGTGTCCTAATTTGTTTTA